CCCTTATCCCCTGTGTCGCCCTTCGCCCTACCCCACGAACTTATTAATTTAAAAGTAAAAAAATTTTATATGGAGCCTAAGCTCTAAACAATCATGTCAGAGCCTATCTCAAAAATTTCACTAGAAGAGGTTGTTTTGATACCCAAATATCGTCAAATTGATCATCTTAACATCAAGATGCATTGACATTAAAAAAATATTCAAGTTTTGGAAATAGTTCATCTTGCAATGCATTTTTGGACCATCAATTTTCAAGATTTTCAAGTTTTCATAGATCTACTCGATCTCCACTATTTTTTAAGCTTTAAATTTCACAATTAGAGATGAAAATATATTTTAAGGCTATTATAAAGACCACATTACGCGACTCTATTTGAAGGTGGGCTCTACTTTGATTATATTTGAAGGTGGGCTCTACTTTGATTATTTAGAGTCTCGGCTCTATACAAACCTATATATTAGAAATACATATAAAGAATACACTATAAATATGTGTTATATTATGATATATTTTTTATATATTTATAATGTATATATCTTATATTATATAAAATACAAATATGTATTAATAAAATAAATATGAAATACACAATATTATTTATTATATTATGCCATATATAATATATTTAATAAAATAAATATAAAATACATTATGTTATGGACCCGGTTTCTATGTGGCCAAGCCCGCATATGTAGAAATGTAAGCCTCTTAATAAATCTATTTTTGAGATGGATTTTAAAACTTAATTTTTAAAGACATGTAATCTCTAACATGGAGATCATGAATATGAAAAAATAAATAATTTTTAAAAACTAAAGATAATAATTCTAGTAAGAAAACATTTGGACCGTTAGTTTATATTGTTTTTAGATAGAACACCTACTTGCATCCATATTTACGATGGATGCTTTAAACTTTTTGAACAACATATATAGAAATGCGGTCCAGCCCGCATGAAACAATTTTCCTTATATTATATGTTTTATATCTTTTTAGGAAATGATATCTTGTAAACATATCTTTAGGCTTATTACTTCTAAAAATCTAGGAAACCATAATCTCTCTTCTAATCTCTAAGTACCTCTTAATCACTCTCTCTCAAATTGTGCTACTCTCTCTCTAAAATTAAGATGTGGAAATGCAAAATATGGTATGTTCAGATAATGATTCTCTTTCTCTTAAAAGTACATATTCTATCTCTCTCTCTTCCCTTTAAAGAAGGGATTGTGTCTCACAATTGGAGGACAATCATTCCTTTGTGGTAACAAATACTCCAGATCATTCTCGGCTAATAAAATATCGTCCACATACAAAGATAATATCTGAATGTTTTTCTTATACTTCTTAATGCATATATGCAATGATCTTCTTGAAGCATTTTAAAACCATAAGTTATTATAGCCTTATGAAATTTGATAACCATTGTCTTGATGACTGTTTGAGACGATATATGGACTTATTGAGCTTGCACACTATGCGCTCAAGGCCAGAGGCTACAAAACCTTTAGGTTGCTCCATATAGATCTCTTCCATTAAGTCACCATTCATAAAATCTGTCTCACATTCATTTGAAAGAGTTTCAGGTTCATATGTGGGATGATTGCTAGGATTAGGTGAATAGAAGTCATTCTCACCACCATGGAGAATGTCTCATCGTAGTACACTCCCTCAATTTGGGTGAACCCTTTCACCACTAAGCGGGCTTTATACTTATCTATAGTTTCATCTACCTTCCTCTTGATTTTCAAGACCCACTTATTTTTAATTGATCTTCTATTAGGCGGCAAATCCACAAGTTCCCATATTTGATTATGCTTCATAGAATTAAGCTCGTCTTTCATAGCAGAAATCCACTGGTCCACAACATGAGAATTAAATGCCTCTTAGGCTCATTAGCATCAAGTGAAATGCATGTGAGACCCTCTACTTCGAAGCGTCTACGAAGAACTTTTCCATGTTAACTCATTCGAAGTTTGACCTACGATTCACTCTCAATAAGTGTCTCTAGCATGGTCGGTGACTCAATATGGGTCATATACTCATTCTCAACCAGTGGCTTACTCCCACTATCATTGACAATCATGGAAAAACTGCCACTATTGTCCTCAAGTGAAGGAACTATCTCAATGTCTGTCTGAGATTCAGGCTCTTTATAAAGCTTTTCAGACGTACGAGATTGCTTCTTTTTAAGGAATTTCGTCTCTATAAAATCTACATCGCGAGATTCTATTTTCTTCATCCCGCCACCGTCATGTTCTTGACATAACACATATTCACTTGAATGCTCATAATATTTGACAAAAATGCACTCGCG